TTATCAAGGTCCTGCCCATACACACTTGACCAATCCTGAGTCAGTGTCAGCTGTCAATCTTTATTTGCAGTCTGTGCTCTGAGACACCTTCGATCGTCTTCCTGGCAACAGACATCAGCCTCCTGGGCGCTGTGGACTGGGTGATGATGCAGTCGTGTTTCAGTCACCACTTCATGCTCGTCCCGGAGAAGCAGGAGAAGTACGAGGGCCACCAGCAGTTCTTTGCCGTGGTGCTGCTCATTGGCACCCGCAAGCAGGCTGAGAACTTTGCCTACCGCCTGGAGCTCAACGGCAACCGCCGCCGGCTCACCTGGGAGGCCACGCCGCRCTCCATCCATGACGGGGTGGCAGCCACCATCTTGAACAGTGACTGCCTGGTGTTTGACACCTGTATCGCCCACCTTTTCGCAGACAACGGTAACCTGGGAATTAATGTCACCATCTCCATGTGCTGAGGGAGCGGCAATATTGGCAGCGATTCACAACAGAGACACTGCAGATTGGTCTGAGAGCTCAGGAGGTTGGCGTTCACCTTCTCTCGTGCTGAGTCCGAGCTGGACTGTAAATGTAATGAATGATGAGATGGCGAGCATCGAAAATGAAGATCGTATGTCCATCAGATCCGYTGCTTCGGCCGGCAATGCCTGAGCTAGACAGAGACCGAGCTGTACGGAGTCAGGGACGATTCCTCAGAGGAAACAGACTAATTCTCCACGAGCTTCTGTCAGGCTCATCTGACTTCCTGTGTACTTCCTCATGATACTCTGATGTTCGCTGTGGTCGACAGATCCGCTGCTTTCAGTCAGGGCGAAGGTGACAGAGTTTCATCAGACGATAAAAGACGTTATAACTTGAAGACGTGTTTGGTTAATTGACGGGTGWCTCAGCCGATAGCAGAGCTCGCTGTTTGTTCCTTTGACCAAAAGTCACAGAGCAGAGACGATGTTGATGAAGCTCAGAGTGTGATTTGTGGATAAACTGTATTTATACTGAAACTTTGTTTTTAAATACTGCTAAATGATGATAATAATCAATAGATTAAATGTTTATACATTAAATTAATTGAAAGAGCAGTGTGTGAGTCTAAGGTTGCTGGTTTGAATCCCTCTGGACCGTGTCAGTGTTTGAGCTCTGAGGGAACAGACTTAGATGTATGAAGTGAAGGAATAACCCCCCCCCCCTTCGTCAGTCGGTTCAGACTATACCCACC